TTTTTTTTTTTTTTTTTTAATTTTTTTGTAGGTTTTGAATAATTATTTATTTGAAAATTTAAAAAAAAAATTTTCCGGGGTTTTCCTACGATAAAAAAAAAAAATTATTATTATTATTATATTATTTGTAAAATGGAATATCAAAAAAATGACGAAGGAAAAGAATTTGTATCATCGAATAAAGATGACGATGTTAAAATCGAAAATGAAAAAACATATTTTGAAGTTCGAAATGATGTTAACGAACCTGAATGTAAAAATTGTCCGAATCAATTAAAAGAGGGTAAGATTATATGTTAACGTACCGTTTGTGTTTGTTGTTGTTGTTGAAAAAGAAAAACCAAAAAGTATAATAATTTGTTCAGGTACTTCTGGTACAAAACCAAGCGACGTTAGAAATGGAGATTTAGTATCGTTATTGTTAGCAGCAACTCCTCCCTATCTTTACAACATACCATTAGTACCGCAAACATTTTTTTTCAGTGAAATGTTGAAAAGTTTTGTACAAGCTAAAACAGAAAGGCAAAATTATAAAATACAACAAGTAAGTTTGTTTTTCTCTATAATTTTATTATTATTATTATTTTTTCGAATTTTGATTATTTGTTTATTTTGATTAGGCTCAAAGCAGGAGACAGAGAAAACGATCTTGGAGAGAATTAACACCTCCAAAATCATTTTCTCACGATTTAAAAGAAAAACCCCTTGAATTAACAATACCGAAACAGGTTGAAGAAAAGTCTAAAAATCCGACGGAAAAAATAACAAATAAAAAATATTTTATAAATGGAAATGAAAATAAAAAATATCAACCCGGAAACAAATTGAGTTCTAGTAATTTTACCGTTGAAAAATTGGCTAATTCAAGTATAAAAACCGATTCGGAATCTGTGAATACAACAGGAGAATTAACACCACCAGGACCTCCTCCTCCTCCTCCTCCTCCTTTGTGGTATCCCCTTTTATATCCGCCTCATCCACCCTACGGAATCGATCCATTTCATTTTTTTATTGACTTTCGGGTGGGTAAACTCCTTGAAGTTGGATCACATTCGGTTGTCAATCAAAATTAAAAAAGTGACGAAACCAAATAAATTTTCCAGGTTTCCGCTCACTTTTGGAACCGGAACCTAGCAACCGATCATTTTAACAACGATAATATATACACTCCCTTATTTCGCAATAACAATAATGAAGATTTTAACACTTCTTCTTCTTCTTCTTCTTCTTTTGTAAGCAGACACAATTCCGCGTTTACCGTACCGACATCTAAAAACAACGAGAAAATTATTAAAAAATATAAAAAAAGAAAAAACTTACCAAATGTACATTACGTTAATACGAGTTTAAAACGTATATACAAATCTCTTGGTAGCAAGGAAAATGAAGAAACGTCATTGTCCGAAAAGGTACCTGAAAATAAAGATTTAAGAGCTTTAATCGGATTAGAATTAGTTGTAGATTATTTTAAACAGGAAAATGACAAAGAATATGAAAAAACAAATGTGATTACCAATTCTGATGAAAATTCTTCTAAACTTTTAACAGTAGAATAGAGAGGAACCATTCATCCAAACAGTGGGAATGACTAATCATTCATATTGTTCTTAATACCTGTAATAAAAATAAATTCAAAGCTTTAGAAAGGTTAATAAATAATTTTTTTTTTAGAATATTTAAATGCTTGAAAACTATTGTAAATTCTTTTTTTTTCTGAACATTTGTAGAAATTAATTAAATATAAATGTTACCATTAAAATCTAAATTTTTTTTTGTTTCATTTCATTTACACCTGTTCCTATACATAAATATATGTTTACACAATGAAAATTAATTAAATTTACATTAAACAATCAAATAAATATTAAAAGTAATCTTGTTTGCGGTTGTGTTGTTGTTGTTGTTATTATTACACAAACAAATAGCAAAACAATCATATTATAAATATAATGAGAAATAAAAAATTTTAATTTAATTTATAAGTGAGATGGCATATTTGAATGAAAACATTATTAATAATAATAATAATAAAATGGTGTTTAGAAAAATACTTGCATTATAAACAATGTCTACATAAGTGTACATAACTGCTAATCCATGAATGAATGAATGATTGATTGGTTAATGCAATAATTATCCTCCACATACATAATCTGTGTATCTGAAAATAAATAAAATAAAATTAACATTATTTATTGAAAATCATCAAAATGAATAATTATTATTATTATCAATTGATATGTGTAAGTGAAACAAGTTTATGAGAACAAAATAAAATAATAATTGTAGCCAAAAAACATTTCAACATTATTGAATTGCCAAAATGCAATTTTTTTTTTTTTTGATAATATTGAAATTTTTTCTAAAAAAAGTTAAAATTTCAATAAAATCTCATATAGTTCACTCTGTTTAAATTTAAATCAATTTTAGAATTAATTAAATAGATTTTAACAAAAAAAGGAAAAAAAGTTTATGACAGTAAAAAAAAAAAAAAAAAAAAACCTTAATATTCTATCAGCAAAAATTTTGCCAATTAAAGGCTAAATGTGCGGCCATTTTGATTTTTTATCGTGATCTTGATGAAATTAAAATTGTTTTTTTTTTTTTATACGCTCTTCCACTCATCCTCTAATACGAAAATTGATGATTTTGAGAGGCACAATATATCTAAAAAAAAAAAAAAAGGAAATAAGCGAAAATTTAAAACGAAAAAAGAGAAAAAGAGATTCAGATGCGAGGAAAAAGAGAATGGGGATTAACAATTTTTTTTTTTTTTTGAAAAAAAAAAGCTACAAATACTCACACCATTTTTTTTTTTTTCTAATTTGCAACTAAAGCTTTTTTTTTTTTTTTTTTTTTTTTCTTTTTGAACTCATCATTCATCTGGTTTCAATATTTTCCCATAAATTAATCTGCCCGGTTTAATTTTTGTCGTTTTGACTGTTAAAACGAGAGAAAAAGAGACAGAAAAAAATAAATAAATAAAATTCGAACGTTATGTAAACCCATTTTGATTCAAATCACCCCCAAAAAAAAAAAAAAATTCATTTTCATCTCGTATTATTATTATCTTCTTTTTTTTCCCTATACATTTACTCTATTCCATTTATTAAAACTTTAATAATTATTTATTGATTTTTATTATTAACGATACTAGTAATTAATTATCGAAATTAACATGTTCGAAAATAAATGATATAAAAAACAATACATTACCACACCACTTTAACCGCCAAAATGGTTTTGATCCTTTGAACCGTAGTAAATTTGCTATTATTTATATTTTGCTACCTTTTATTAAGCAAACAAAAAAATCCGCGCCAAAATTTTCTAACAATTATCATAATTAGTAAACAACAATAACAACAACGTTCGGTTTGTAAATAGGTTATAAATTTTAATTTTATTTTTAAAAAACGAATTAATTAAGATTAATAATTTGTTGGGTGATAAATTTTTATTGTTTTAATAAGTTTTATTTTCGATTGTGATTTTAAAAAATTACGTTTATGTGGAGAAAAAAAAAAAAAATGAAAGCTGCACATGTTTCGTCATGAAATTCAAAGTGAAAATTTTATAACTTAATACGAGAATTTTTTTTCCTTTTTTTCCCCCCCAAGTTAAAATTTCACTTATTTCCATTAATTTACATAAATTTTTTCCTTTCGGTCCAACTTTTAAACGTGTTTTCTCTACCCACTATTAAGGGTTTCATTTTCCACTCATTCTATATTCCATATTTGACGCAATTATAAAAAAATTTTTTTTTTTTTATTTCGTTTCGAAAACTTTTTTTTTTTCCCCGTAACATAGATTTATTTAATCAAACCAAACGTAAGTCGTTAGTTAAAAAAAAAAAAAAACATCAAAATTGTTTTCCCTATTTCCTTCTTTTTAAATGACAGGTTTTTAAAAATTGTAACGACGCATTAAAAAATATATTCCTCTGAGAATATATATATATATACATAATAATTTTTAAAAAGATTAAATACTTTATATAAACCTAATAAGAGATTGGGTTCTTTTTATATTTTTTTTTGTTGTCATTTATTTAAAAATTCTAAAATATTCTATGCAATAAGTTTTTTTTTTCTTCTTCTTTCCTTTTCTTTTCTTTTCTTCCTGGAGATATTTATTACTTTTAAGATTAATTTCAGTCATTTTCGATTTTATAAAAAAAAAAAAAAAAAAAAAGGAGGACTAACAACTCCCTACTTCTGTACTTATTTTTCCCTTCTTCCTTTTTTTTTTTTTTTTCCTTTACTTAATCTAATTAATTTCTTTTTTAATGATTCAAAAGTCTTATTAATTTTTAAGAAAAAATAATAATAATAATTATAACATGAACAGACAATTTAAGGGTTGACATTCTTCAAAGGTATACCAAAATTTTAAATAAATACAATATTTAAATATTTCATCACAATTCGTTAAATAATCAAAACAAATTATTATTATTATTATTATTATTATTATTATAACATATAACATAATTATTATTAATAATTAAAAAATTAAAATTTTTTTTTCAAGTTTTAAATGTAACAATCCTTATAAAAACAGAAATTTAATGTTTTTTAATAAAAATTCTTTTAAATAAATATAAAAACAGTTTTTTATTATAAATAAAAAAAAAAAAAAAAAAAAAGTTCAAATTAACAACCATTAAAAAAAAAAAAAAAAAAAGAACGAGTAAAACAAAATTTACTATTTTAATATATATTTATTGTTTTTTGTTTTTTCATCAACAGGCACTGAAATCAATATATATTATTAATTAATTATAATAAATTTATTGTTAATTTTCTTTTTAAAACAAATTATTATTATTATGATGATGATGATGATGTTCCTTGTAAACTCAATCTGAGATTGTTAGAGGGTCGAAGTGGCGTCCTTGCATACGTTGAATCGGGAAAACGTTCGTGATATCTTTCCAACCGCAAATATTTAACCGTTATTAAAGCCCCTGAAAATTTATTTATTAGGAAAAAAATTATTTTATATCTTAGTAGGAATTGGAAATAAAAAAAAAAAAAAAAAATGAATATTAACCATCGAACCAAGATCCGTGTAATTGCCTGTAAGCGATTCCCGCATCTAAAGGTGAGGCGCATTTAACGTAAACGCAACCTTCCTTCGATTCCTTATCGACGGAAAGGTGAACGATTTTCGAACCTTCGCATTTTTCAACGATTGCATCTTTTACTTTTAAAATCCAATCCGGACCGTAATCCCTAAAAAAAAATTAAATTCTTTTTGTTAATTAAAAAAAAAAAAAAAAACGTGGCAAAAGTCATTCGATATATATATAAATATTCTCAAAAAATTTAAATCTGGTGACACGATTTTAATAATTACTTGTCATGTTTAAACATATGTCTGATTTTTAGGCACTGCGTAGGTGACAACGGTAAAGAATTCATGGATCCTTCTGAAGTTTCGAAAGCTTCTCCTTGCCAAACTCTGTCCGAACATCTTTTAGCTTCTGCTTTCAAACTGGACCTTTAAAAAAAGTTAAATGGAAAATTTTTTGCGTGCGACAAATAATTGCAATGATTGATAAAAAAAAAAAAAAAAACACTGATGATGTTTGAAATACTTACAAATCTGGATAAAGTTGATTGGATGATTCATTTCCGGAATCCGCGTCCATTTGTGAATTGTTTGTGGGTTTATTTATTGTTGGTCCGAGCCATCTCCAAACCCTCGTATTTTCTCCCCAAACTTGTTGAACTTCCGTTCTTATTCTGGATTCGTTTTCTTCGATAAATTTGACGGCTTTATCCCAAATATTTGCCATTTCTAAAATTATTATAACAATAAAGTGAAATTTAAAATTTACAGATTCCAATAGAAGAAATTAAATAATAATTATTTACTTTGTCTCTCCGTTGGATGTATTAACGTGTCGTGCACGTGTCGGACGGAAACATAATCTTGTGGAATACTCGTCAGGGAACCGTTAGAGTCAATTCCGCTATTCGCTCTATCAGCAGATTCTGACATGTATTCTAAAATTTTTTCCACGATTGCCATGGTTTTATCATTTTCTTCTTTTTTGGACCGCTTATAATATCTCCAGATGACAACCAGGAAATACAATATAACACCGGCTAAAAAAAAAAAACAAAAAATTTTTTTATTAAATGAATTTTAAGTAAGCAGATTATTATTAAATATTAATTATCTACCGAATGCAGTAACGGCTATCGTAAACAGGGCTTTATAAAAAAGTCTCATGAGGTAACAAGTCCAAGGAATTGATAAATATCTACTTTCGAATATGTAAGCATTATTTTTAATGTCGCTAGGACCAACATCTTCAGCTATGTAACCCTTAACGGGATAATCAGACTCTTCTTTTAAAGATATGCCCCAGTGTTTATTTGCCCAAATCAAAAGTTTCAAGTTTCCTATACCGTTTTTCAAAGATTTCAATTCCTAAAAGAAAACAATGTTTTTTTTTTAAGTTCAAAAAACAAAAAGTTTAACAAGCATATTAGAATTTTTTTTCTTATTACATTGTCTCGTCTGGTTCGTAACAAAAAGTTAAATATTTCTCTTTCTGTCATGTAAGGTTTTGGCATGGATCCATCTTCCAGAGGAGGCCCACAAACATATCTTAAATTTCGAGCTTGTAATTCTAAATGAACATCTTTGTACAATCTTATAGCATATGATAAATCTTGTTTAGGAATACAGTTATCCTGTAAAAAAAAGAAAAAAAAACTTTTAAATTTAGGAATTTAAAAAAATTTACATTTAAATTTAGGAATTTAAAAAAATTTACATTTAAATTTAAAATTATATTTATGAATTATTACCCCTGGTTGTTCATCACTGCATATCGGATAGTTGTGAACTGATTTTCCACCAATCCCTGCCCTTTGGCTCACTTTAAAATAAGCTAATGCAAGCCATCCAAAAAACAGTAGAAACAATCCTAACAGAATCATTGACAATAACTGACTTTTGCTACTGTACCATGTTTTACTACTGCCACTAGTTGAAATGTTTTTTAAATTTGCATATTGCAATACTGATTTAATTGGTTTTGTCCAGTCTCTGAAAAAGTAAGTAAAAGATTCATTACTTTATGAAAGTTATATTTTATTTAAAAAAGAAATTACCTGAAGTTAAAAGTCTTAGAGGCAATATTAACATTTTTCCATTTATCTGTAATAACATCATCTTCTGCATCACTTTCCTTAATATCTAAAGGATTTAAAGTACCACCTCTATTACCTAGACGACCAACAAAATTTGAAAAAAATGGTCTGTAAAAAAAAAAAAAAAAAACAAATTTATGTTTCCGATTATAAAATCGTCACAAATTCTAATTAAAAAAAAAAAAAAAAAATGTTTGTAATACAAAATACCTTGATTCCTTTTTGAAATCATTTTTCAACCTATGGGACAACAAATCCGATGGAGTTTTTGATATGAAATTTCTCGTATTTGTATTATTAAGTCTTGATCTGTAACTTGATAAACTACCATAAGATAAGCCACTTTTCCTTCTAAGTATTGGTGATGAATTTTTAAAATCAGGCACATCAGAATCAGACCCTAAAAGAATGCATACAATCAAAATAACAAACTTAGCACCATGATAAATACAATAAATTTTAAAAGAAACTATGAATGAGATTGAAATTTTAATTTGATTTAAACTTACCTGAGTCAAAATCAAATGAGGAAGTTGAAGTACTGCTCGGTTTCACTATAGTTGAATATAAAGGTTGTTTTGTAGAATAATTCGGAGTGCTAAACCTAGATATTTTGAAATCGATATTATTTCGATTTTGATTAATTGGAGTTGAACAAGATACTTTTGATATAGAAGGCACAGAAGAATCGGGTACACAATTCCTTGAAATTGATTTACGCTTTGTCGATCTATAACTACTAGGAGGCGGCATGGAAACTCTTCCCAAATTTCTATTGCCGCCATTTTGGTCAGTATCTGATCCGGACTCATCAGCCGAACTAAATTGTGCTAAACTTCTATTTGAATTTAATGAAGTGCTCTTTTGTTTCATTAATATTTTAAGTTTTTTTAATAAAATTTTACGTGTAGTTTCAGTCACTGGACCAACGGGATGTCCATATTCTGCTAATTTTGAACGTAATTCACTGTCAGTCAAATTATCTGCATCAAACCTCGCCATTTTGTAATTTATATGTACTACCAACTATTAAAAAAATAAAATTTTGTAAACACACAGTAAAGTAGACTTATTTTTTTTTTGTAATTTTTACAAAATAATTTTATTATTAAATATAAGTTTATTTAATTATAACTCTACAAAATGGGAGAAAGGAAAGGAACAAATTTGTATTACCCTCCGGATTATGATCCCAAAAAAGGAGGAATTAACAAATTTCAAGGTAAATTTTGGGTTAATAATTAATCAAAAACAGTAAATAAAAAATGCCTTAAAAATTTAATTATATCATTAATATGGAAAATAGAAATAATAAAATTTATTAAAATTTACTTGAGTAATTTTTTTTTTTTTTTTTACAGGAACTCATGCTTTGCGAGAAAGAGCCAGAAAATTACATATGGGGATTCTTATTATCAGATTTGAAATGCCATATAACATTTGGTGTGATGGTTGTGGAAATCACATCGGAATGGGTGTCAGATACAATGCAGAAAAAAAAAAGATAGGAATGTATTACACTACACCCATTTATCAATTTCGAATGAAATGTCATTTATGTGATAATCATTTTGAAATAAAAACCGATCCTGGGGTATGTATACGAATGTCACACATTAATCTTCTTTTTTAAAAATTAATAAAAATTTGTAATCATTTTCTTAGAATTTAGATTATGTTATAGTATCTGGAGCTAGAAGACAAGAAAGCAGGTGGGATCCTACTCAAAATGAACAGGTAGTACCTGAGGATAAAGAAACATCTAAAAAATTATTTGATGATGCCATGTTTAAATTAGAACACACGAGCAAAGATGAGAGTACGAGTAAAAAACAAAATCCGGTATTAAATAAATTATTACAAAGAAATGATGATGTTTGGAAAGATGATTTTCTAGCCAATTCAGCATTGAGAAGGAGTTTTAGAGTAAGAAAAATGAATTTAAATTTGAAATTTTAAGTGAAATTTAAAAAAAAAAAATTTTCATTAAAATTTCCTGCATTTTTAACAGGCTTTCAAAAGAAAAAAAGAAGCAGAAGAAGCTCAAAGTAGACAAATAATAAAAAAAAATTCATTAAGCATAGATTTATTACCTGAACATCCTGATGATGTTAAATTAGCTTCTCTTTTATCATTGAAACCTTCACAGGGTAAGGAAACTTCTAGTTAATAATAATTGAGCATCACAAATAAATACCTATGACAATTGTTAAATGCATTCAATTTGTTTGAAATTAAAATTTTATTTTAGACATATCTGAAAAATTAGAAGAAACTAGAAAAAATATTATGATGAAACCAGCATTACCATCAAGTACGGGTCGATCCACAGTATTTACAGGACTCCGTGCTGAAAAGCATTTAAAAGAAACGGCTTTAAGCAGAAGTAAACTTGGTGTAGTGATTAAAAAACCCAGCACGTTAGTTCCAGAATATGTATCTTCATCTAGCTCTGAAAGTGAAACAGTATGAAATATTTTTCAACTCATTTAAAACGAGTAATTGGATACTGATGTGATACTCGCAACTAAACTTCACATGAATTTATTTTATGGTAAGTCAGTTCTTTAAAACATAAATTTTCCTAAAAAAAAAAACTATTAATAATCATTTAATTTTAATATGTTTGCAAAATATCTTTCAACAAAAATTTATACTTACCATAAAGTGTAAGCAGAATCGAATTTAAATTTATACGAGAGATCGTACTGTTAGAGTTTGTTTTAATTTTTCAATATTAATCGTTTCATTGTTGATATTTTTTTTAAATTTTAAATTAAAATTTGGTTTTAAAAGAATAAAACCATTATCGGAAAATTCTCCTTTTTCTTCAGTTTCCAGCCATACAAAAGGAGCTATTTTATCTGTAGTTATTGTAATTGTTGCTTCATTCGTATTCTGAGATTTTTTCACGGACGTGATCTGAAATTAAAAAAGTTTCATTTTGAAAAAGGTTCTTTAACGTTGCGATACAGGTACGAATTTAAACAAAAAAAAAAAAATTACTTCCAAATTTGGCGATTTTAAATTCTGTATTTCATAAAGTTTACAAGGATACAAAACATTATCGGAGACAAAATTAGTTGATTCGAGTTTAAAATATATAAAACACTCGTATTTATTACAATTTCCATCATTCAATAGTTTTTCCATTTCGTATCTCGCGTAAATTTTGGCGGAAGCTTTTTCCTTTGAAAAAAAAAAAGAAGAAAAAAAAACCGTTAGAATTATGAAAAAATAAAATACGAATCGATTGATTTAAATCGGGAATCGTACCAAAAACATTTGTGATGAAATGATTAGCCTGGGGGTAAAATCATTCCACGAGTATACAAAAACGGTTAGATTTGCATTGGGAACGTCGTTTAATAAATCCGATATTAAAAAAACATTTATAAGACCGTGCCTTGTGGTTTCTGGTGACACGAGCACCGGAGAAAAAAATTTCACGGCGTAGTAATGAAGCATTTTCCATTTTCCACCGAATTCTAAAATGAATGATTGTTTTCAATTAGTTTTTGGATAAAATAAGATGCCATATTTATTCTGTTGTTTAAAAAAAATATTAATCGAAATTACCAATGGATGACCAACTAGGAGCTTGCCAAACATCGTTTAATTGCCAATACATGGCTCCCATCGTGTGTCCCTTATTATCCCGTGTCAGTTTATTACGATCCCTTCTTAATTTTTCAGTTTCCGTTTTTGTACTCATAGCTTGCGATATCTAGGGTTGGGGAAAAAAAAAAAATTTTTTTTAACGGTAATCGCCATTTTTACTTTTATTTTTTATTTTTTTTTCCAAACCTGACTGTAGTAAATGAATGTTTTGTAAAATGATTCGGAGCCATCGTCATTTGGCAAAGGAAGTTGTTGAAGAATTAAATTTTTCATAAAATTGTTTCCGTTTGGAAGATGTTGTCTTTTATTCGTGAAGTCACTATCTAGTTTCCTATCGGATGGCAGGCTTATCGAAGAAATGCTATTAAACGAAGGCATGGATTGAAAACCATATTCGGAACCAAATCTCGTGTCGGGATATAAATAATCAATCCAACCGTCAAAAATGTAGTTGTAATAATGAACTAAAAATAAATAAATAAAATTTTTATCAATAACTTTTAAATTATCGCAGTTAAATTAAATTCTCTCACCATCTCCATAGAGAGCACTATATGGATCTTCTGCTATATGACCTTCTTTTTCCGATTCTAAACCGTTTGAAGGACTTGATGTTAAATATGACCTCGAATCGTCGTTTTCCAATACGACAGATCGTATGGTATCCACGTAAAGAGTTACGTAATCCTTTTTGAATAAATCGAAGTTGTTCTTCGTGTTGTACCTGAAACAAAAAAAAACGGTGTAAAATTAACAATAAAAAATTTAAAATAAAATAAAAATTAGATTTACCAATTTCCTCTTAATGCAGCTTCATTTTCATTATTTCCTGCCCATAGAGCAATACTCGGATGATGTTGAAGTCTTCTTATTTGTTGTCGAATTTCCGTTTTCACATTTTTAAGAAAATCATCTTCTGCTGGATACATGGCACAGGCAAACATCATATCTTGCCAAATAAGAATACCGAGTTCATCTGCTGTCTGAAATAACAATTCGTTATTTAAAAGAAATATTATTTTTTAATTTTTAAAATATTATAATCACCTGATAGAAAAAGTCTGACTCGTATAAACCTCCTCCCCAAACTCTCAGCATGTTCATGTTTGCTTGTTTGGCTGATTCTAACGTTTGACGAATCATTGTTTCGTTGTAACTCAACTCGGGTAAAATATGTCCTGGTATCCAATTGGAACCCTTTGCGAAAATGGGAATGCCATTTATTTTAAAATAAAAACTTAAACCTTTCATTCCCGGCGTGATTTCTTCTTGAATCAGTTCGATAGTTCTAAATCCAATTTTAATAGTTTTTTTTGAAGATTCAGTTCCATTTATCATTTTCATCATTATGGTAACGTTATATAATTGACTGTCTCCAAAACCATTTGGCCACCATAATTTTATATCAGACTGCAGTAAATAGTTTTTTTTTTTAATTTTTTTTTTACCGTAATTCTTTAAATTTATTTCATTACTTACTTCGGAAAGGAAAAAAGTTGTCGAATAAATATAATTGTTGATCGTTGATGAATCATCGTTTTCGTATTTTTCTCGTGTTAATTCAATATTTAAATTTCTATTTAAATCGTCATCGTGTGACAAATGACCCGAAAAAACATGTTCTGGAATGTTTTTATCAACTAATTCGGCAAAAAACTTTAATTGAACTGACCAAGTCGTTTCATTGAATTTTTTTGGAGTTGCTTGTATATCTCGAATCACTCCCAAATCATAAGCTTCGATTTCAACGGGTTTCCTATTTATTTAATTATTATTATTATTACATTTTTTTGTTTTTTAGATTTTAAATGGTGGACAAATCAAATGATATTACCAGATTCCAACTGAGGGAAATGCCGGACCCCAATCCCAAGCAAAAGAAGCTTGCATTTTCCTTAGGAAATTGACGTGACATTCGCCATTGTACGAATCCGGAGTGCACTCAGGTGGAATGGAATATTTTTTTTTTTGTAAATCGGCTAATTTATTAGCTTCGTATATGGGTGATTTAAGGGAAATCTTAAGGTTATTGTTCTTCTCCTAAAAAGTAATAAAATAATTGTGTCAAACATTTTTAAAATAACGGTGGGAAGGGGGGGACGTTTAAACTTACATTTATGACACTTTTAATTGGTATTACGTGACGTACGAACATGTTATTGACGGTCCCCAAAAAATTTTCATTTAAATAAATGTCTCCAACGGTATCGATACCATGAAATACCAAATTGATATTTTTTTTTTCTAAAACTTCTGGAAAAACGTCAAACGAAGTCGAATACGTCCAATTTTCTTTTGATACCCATCGGTAATCGATGTCGTTAAATCTATAAAATAAATCGTCATCCAATATTTTCGCGTTTTTCAGATCCGTGTAAATTCCTCCTGGCACGTTTCCTTTTATTTCTATACCTGTAAAATTAAATTCAATTAATAAAACTAAATCATAAATAAAATTATTATTAAAGTGTAATTTATGATTTTTACTTACTTTTGTTTCGATTCCGAACTGTCCACGTATAATCATTATTATTATTTGAATTTAAACTTATCAAAATTTCACTCTTGATCAATTTTATAATGAAAAATAATAAAAAATATATTTTATTCATATTTCAATGCTTTAAAATAAACGCTGTGCGTATATGATCTGGAGTGAATATTAAAAAAATTATTTTTAACGTAATTCACAATCAGTTTTTTTTTTTTTTTCAAATTATGTAAATTTTCAAAATGTCTGGCGTAGTATAAAAAAAAAAAAAAAAAAAAAAAAACAACATTACTGTATAATGAAGTGATTTAATTTGTAAATGAAGTGTTAATTTTTAAAGCAGTAAAGTTTATCAATAAACAAGTAGAGATAAGAAAAATGTCTTTATAAAATTCACATTTTAAATTACACGTTCAAGGAAATAAACGATTTAATAATTTTTTTTTTATAACTAATTAGTTAAAACGTTAATTTTTAAGTAAATTTTTTGTTAACGAATAAATTTTGGCACTTATTGTCTTAAAAAAATTTTAACATTGAAAAAAAAAACAACTACATTACGTTCACTACTTATAATAAATATCTAACGAATATTATTCTGTTAACTTAAATAAGAATAGACATTTTAAAATGAAAATATAGTTCGAATTAAAAAAATAAAGTTAAATAAATGATACGTAGCTTTGAATTACATAATGTGTAAATTGTTACATCGTTAATAAAATCTCGTTTTAAAAAAACAATCCGAATTGAATTTTTTTAGTACGAAAAATTCTTCCGTTATGCTCCTGATTTTTTCCATTCGGGAAGGTGGTGGAAATATCTTCTGCCACGGCACTTCGACCTCTTTTAATTATCACATGGCAGTATGCGGCCAATGAATTATTTCTTACTGAAATAGGTTATTTAATGATTTGTTATGTGCACGTTAAATTTTAAGTTTTAATTCGTAATTAATAATGTCGTGGTTATTTGGATATAATAGAAAAACCCCTTCGGATTTTTCAAGTATAACCGGCATCAATCCCCCTAGTTCCGAAGATGGAAGTGGTGATGATTTGCCCAAAGACAAGAAAAAAATGGAAGCTTACCGTTTTGATTCGGTAGCTTTGGAAAGAGCGGCAGCGGCAGCTAGAGAATTAGAAAAATCTAGTAAGAAAGATATTATTTTTCCATCAAATTCCTTAAAAAACAATCAATTTGAATTTTTTTTTTTTTTTTGTTTTTACCTCGATATATTTTACTTTTTTCAATTTATAATGAAATAAATAATTTTTTCTGATAAATTTTTATAAACTATTTGTAAAAGCACATTGTTTTATTTACCCTAAACGTTTCAAAGGGTTTAAATTATCACATTCTCTTTTTTTTATTCAAATGTTTACGTTTATTACATTAACATTATATTATACATTAAGTCTTTCTGAAAATTATATTTCTTATATAAATATTAATTTATTTTTATTTTGTCCATTCCTTTTTTAACTCACAATATGTATGTTATTTGCTGGTTAAATTATATTTCTAAAGTTAGGAGTTTCACAATTGCAAAGATTTCAAACTATTACATCATCCACCTCATTTTACTCTTTGTCCTTAACAATAAGTTATTATTTTTATTATTAGAAAATGCCAAAGAAATATTAGAATTGACTAAACAACAGGAGGCAACAAAGCAGCAAGAGTATTATAAAAAATTGAAAGAATATGAAGCACACATTGAACAAGCCAAAATTGAGCAAATACGAGTGGGAGATGAAGAAAAACGTAAAACTCTTGCCGAAGAAACGAAACAACACCAACTCAGGGCTCAGTATCAAGATCAGTTAGCTAGAAAACGGTTAATATTTCAAATTTTAAAAAAGCTTTCAAATTCTGTTTAACCTTTTTTTTTTTGTTGAAAATATACAATCAAAAAATGTTTGTTCAGGTATGAAGATCAATTGCAGCAGCAGAGGAAAACAAATGAAGAAAATCTTAGGAGGCAGGAAGAATCTGTTGCGAAACAAGAACAACTCAGAAGGGATACAGTTGAATATGAGTTAAAAAGAAGAGAAGAAGTTGATTTGAAAAAGTTGGAAGCTGAAATGAGAGCCAAAGCCAAAGTTGATCGTGAAAATCAAGATTTAACATTGGAACAAATAAAACTCAAAGCTAAAGAAGATAGAACCACTAAACTCGAATCAATAATGTAAATTTATATAATTAAAAAAAAAAAAAAAAAAAAACCCCCTCAGAAATTTAAAGTTATTAATTATAATGTTTTCTAAATTTTTTTCGATAATTTTTTTTTTTAGAACAGCTGGTCATGTGTTTGGAAATGGTTTGAATGCTTTACTCAATGATTGGGATAAAGTATTAACAGCTGTAGGAGGTCTTTCTCTTTTGGCTTTAGGGTTTTACTCTGCCAAAGGAAGCACTTCATTAGCGACTAGATTTTTAGAAGCGAGATTAGGTAAATTTATCGATTTTAATTTATCAAAGATGAAATCTATTTGGATTTTAAAAAATTTTTAATGAAATTTTTTTTTTTTTTTTTTTTTTGTTATTAGGAAAACCATCTTTAGTCAGAGAAACCTCTAGATTTTCCCTAATGGACTGCTTATTTAACCCGATAGAAAATTTTAAAAAATTGATAAGAAAACCATCGGATGCATTATCAGGTACATGTTTAAATCAAGTTTTATATTCACGTTTGGTATTACATTTTAACATTAGTATTGATAATAATTGTGTAAAAAAAATTTTAGGTGTTGTTTTGGCGCCAAAATTAGAGGAGCGTCTTAGAGATATCGCAATAGCTACTAAAAATACTAAACAGAATAGAGGAATGTACAGGAATATATTGATGCACGGGCCGCCAGGAACTGGTAAAACAATGTTTGCTAAGGTAATTATTTTCTGTTTTTCAATTTCGTTTAACCTAACGCCTGTTACAAATATTAAAGAAAAAATGTTTATGTTTAGAAATTAGCACTTCATTCGGGAATGGACTATGCTATATTAACAGGAGGAGATGTTGCACCCATGGGACGTGACGGAGTTACCGCCATTCACAAAGTTTTCGATTGGGCAACCACTTCTCGAAGAGGTCTTTTATTATTCGTGGACGAAGCTGATGCATTCCTTAGAAAGAGAAGTTCGGAAACTATTTCTGAGGATTTAAGAGCAGCTTTAAATGCTTTTTTATATAGAACCGGTGAACAATCTAACAAGTAATGTTTTTTTAACTTTTACTAGCCTGATATTAATCGGGGTACCAGATTGGATTCATAAAAAGAGCATTTTGATTTAACTCGGGGGGTTTTTTTTTTTTTTTTGTATTGTAGATTCATGTTAGTTTTAGCTTCAAACACTCCAGAACAATTTGATTGGGCTGTCAACGATAGGCTCGACGAAATGGTTGAATTTACTTTGCCAGGATTAGAAGAAAGGGAAAGATTAGTTAGGCTGTACTTTGATAAATTTGTTTTAGAGCCTGCTTTAGAAGGAGCCAAAAGACTTAAAGTAGGACAGGTGAGTATAATCATTGGTATAAGAAAGTTTTCCTTTGTCACTTTTGAAGTTGCTAACTTCGAATTATTTTTTTCCCCCCTAGTTCGATTACAGTGCGTTGTGTTCAAAAATGGCGGAAATGACAGAAGGCATGTCGGGTCGAGAAATAGCAAAATTAGGAGTTGCTTGGCAAGCTGCAGCTTACGCGTCATCAGACGGAGTCCTAACTGAAAAAATGGTTATGGATCGCGTTTATGACGCCATAAGACAACACAAGCAGAAGGTAAAATTGCGATATCTATATAAACATCATCTTGTGATATCAGGATTTATAAAAACGAAAAAAATTTTTTTATTTTTTAGGTGGATTGGCAGAGCGAACAAGAAAAAACGGATAGAAAATCATTGACGGAAAGAGGCAAAACAAAAGTAAAAAATGAATCTTCTTCTTCTCCTCCCTCTACCACTAATACTACTACTAGTACTACAACTACAACTGTTACCGATAAGAAAGTTTAATTGTAGAAAAAAAAAAAAATGTCAGGTTATCATGTTTGGTTACAGTAGACATTCGAAAAAAGAGAAATAAGTAAAACAGAACAGATTTTCATCGTTTTAAATCTCATTTTTGCATTTTATCAGTTACTCTCCTGCCCCCCCGCCTCTCCCCCCACAAAACAGTAAAAAAATGTTCAAAGTTACCCTAAAATTTGAATTTCATAGACAGTTTTGTGACAAAAAAGCAACAAAAACTCGGGTTAAGTTTTTTTTAAAAAGGAGTCTAATTTTTCGTTTAAAGTTTTTTCTTCCCTTCTCTTTTTGTTATTATTATTATTATCATTGTGGTTAGTTCATTAAGAATGTTTTAATAGATTTGTTTGTTTTTTTGTGCGAGAAGGAAAAATAAAAAGGAAAACAAAACATAATAAAATATTAAAGTCTTCGGAGGGGCCACCATCAATCGAGTAATTCTATGTAGTTTCGAAATGAAAAAGGATAAAAAATGGCCGTTAAAAAGTCGTTTTAAATAATAATAATAATGATAATAATATGAAAGCATTGTTTTAAATGCTGTCAAAGTTGGAAAATTAGTTATTTTAGAAAGTAGTGCTCACATTGTTTCGTTAATTGGACAAAGAGAGAGAGAGAGAGAGAGAATTTAAAGTTGTTTTCGCTTTGAAAATCTCGCATAAGAGAATTTAAGAAATTAAAAAAAAAGAAAAAAAGATTTAAAACAATAAAAAAATTATTTGTTGTTAAATAATTTAAATGTTTTTCTTACCTGTTTTAAAAATGGTGTGCTCCTGTTCTTTTTCCTTTTTCTTACCGCCATCCTTGAATCCTTTTTTTCTTTTTTTCTTTGTGTTCCAGGTGAGCAATAAAAAACATTCGAATAAACCAAGACCGGAATATTCGGACGAAGAAATGACTGCAACTGTCATGCACAAGGGAAAATTAAAATTAGTGCACATGTAAAAAAAATTTTTTTTTTTTTAACAATGATTGGAAAAAATAAAGTTTTTTTTTTTAAAAAAAAAAAAGTACATTAAGAAGATTGGTTAAACTTCGAACGAATTTTCTAAAAAAAAAAGTCGTAGAATAATTTTTTTTTTTTTTTTATGTTCATTTAGTTTTCGTAACAAAATAAAATAAAATAAAATTATTCAAATGAAATTGTTGTTAAAAAAAAAAAAAAAAAAAAAAAAAAACATTAATATATAACTTACGAGAAAGAAATAAAATAAAAAAAATTTTTTTTTTTTTTAAATTGTTTTTTTATTTTTACTTTATTCAAGCAAAACCGTTTTTTTTTTTTTTTTGTAATTTCCCTTTCCTTCCCTTTTTTTTTTCTTGAAAATATTTTTAAATTATTCGTTTATAAAATAATAATATTAATAATAATAATAATAATAATAAATAAATTTCATTTACTTACATGTAATAAAGAAAAAATTAAAATAAAAAAAAATGAAACAAGTTTAACCGTTAAAATACGTGTTAACATGTCAAACTGAACTTCGCAAATGATTCGTTAACAAGCTAAGCAGGGAAAGGGAAAAAATTTCCCTGCACTCTTTCTCCTAATTACATGGCGCCAAAATGGCGTCATCTTTTTAATTTGTATTTAAGTTTATTTAAACGCGCGCGTGAAAAAAAAATTCGTTTTATTATCATTATTGTAATTATTATTATTATTATTATTATTATTAATATTATTATTTATTATTATTATTATTTATCGAGTTAACAAAAAAAGACAATTTGAAACGTATAAAATTTTTAAAATTAATTATTATTTGTCATTATTACATAATCATCACCATCAATCATCACTATTGGTCACCATCACTAAAGCCATTATCATCATAATTAATATTATTATTATTATTAAATATTTTTTTATTGGGGGGAGGGGAAGGGGGAATTTTATTTTTTAATTTATGTCATTTTTAAGCATTATTATTTAACACATTAAAATAAATTCTTATTTTTTTTTTTTTTATAAACAAATGAAAACAATTTTTCTATTCTAATTATTTCGTTTTTTTTTTTTAAAATATTTATTTAAATTCATTATTATTATTATCATTATCATTATTATTATGAATTTCGATTTTCTATTTAAAAAAAAAAAAGAATTAAAATTTATTTATACAAAAAAATGTTTTTTTTAAACTAATTATTACTATTATTATCATAATCATCATAATTATTAAAATCATCATCATCGTCATGATTAATTAATTAATTTATTTATTGATTTATTTATTTATTTAATATCATTATTATCTAATTTAATTCCGTCATCAATTTAATAATATTTTTATTAATTAATTTAAAATTTTTAAAAAAATTCACTTCATAAAGTTAATTAATATTTATATAAACATTTAAATTTAATAATCGTTATTATTCGTCTATTGCCACGTTCCAACGGTTTTTTTGTTTTTCATTTCGTAATAAGACTTTCGACTTAATAATTATTATTATTATTAATAATATTTTCGTTAATTTTGTTTGTTTTTTTTTTAAATGCGAATATTATTTATTAATAATAGTAATACTCTGTTTATGATGTCGTCATCGTTTCGTTTTTTTTAAAATCATTATTATTAATATTTTAACGAAAAAAAAAAAGAAAAAGTAATTAAGGACAACCACATTGTTCGACGACCATTTTGGGTAAATCCCTTTTTATAATATTATTATCGGGACCGAAATAAATAATGCTCATGCTTGAAAATTTAACTGGTGCGCAACAGGGTTGTATACCGGAAAGTCTATCCATTTTCCTATATTCGTCAATCACGTGTGTGTGATAATTAAGGAAAGTATCCGGAGTTCTGTGCATGCCACCGCAATCACCCCTACAATAATTGGCATGGTATCCCTTGGGAGCAATTATCCAATCGTCCCATTTCAATTCTTTAAAACTCACAAAAAAATTTTGCTTGCAGCATTGTCCTTTGACAGCACCAGAACAATCAAGAGCTCTCCTTCGAGATCTTTTCATAACAACCGGTTCGGTGTGCACGACCAAAAACGGCCTGTTCGGATCGAGTTTTTCATTTTGACTAGAAATATTTTTCAAATAATAGTCTTCTTTTTCTTCTTTCCCTTTCGACGACGACGATTCCCCCCCGTTGTTCGTCTTTGTTCCGCCATTTTCGTTTTTATATCTGTTGCTACCGTTGTAACTTTTCTCATATCTAAAATTCTCTCTTCCATATTCTACGCTTCTTCTGCTTTTTCGATTCGTCACGACCGTGTTATAATTTTTTAATTTATTATTACGTTTGAATATTAATACCTGTACGACGTCTTTACAACCTGTACAATCAACTAACAGTCTTAATCTTTCTTTGTGAACGTTTCCTTCCTTATACCTAAAAACAATTATCAATATTATTATTACAATAATTTCTTTACGGTTTTTTTAAAAATTAAAATCAAATTTTAATTGATACAAAAAAAAAAAATTCTTTTCCCCTCCCCCTTCTTTCCTTTTTTTTTTTCAAATAAAAAAAAAAAAAAAAAAGTTAACTGGAGAAATATTTTTTTGGGAATTATGCCAGGAGAAAACATGGATTTCCATCAGATACTTTTTTTTTTCCAAGTCGAGTCGATGTTTTTAAATAGGTCGAGACATTTTAAATTTAAATCTCGTCGTCGTCGTCGTCGTCGTCGTCGTCGTCGTCATCATCATCATCATTATCATCATTATTATTACTTCCTTTTTTTTACTGTTGTGTTTCACGGTTCGCGTACTGAGTAATAAAATTTATTTATTATTAATAATTTTTTATTTATACTTTTCTTACCATTCTTTTATTGCATTCGTCATATCAATTTTTTGCCATCCTAAATTCGTTAATGACACAGACAGGGAACTGACTAGTTCTGTGTGTTCATCGAAATCCTGTAAAAAAAAAAAAAAAAAATGAATAATAAAATGACATAATGGAAGAAATTCGCCGGACGTTTTGTTTGGTTTTATTATTTTAAATTTGTTATATTCCTATTATTTTGTTTTGTTTTCCTGGTTGTCTGTTTGTTTGTTTGTGTGTTTGTTGTGTGTGATTGTCTGTGTGTGTGGAATGTATGTGGGTGTGTGTGTGTGTATATGTAGGTGTAGGTGTGTGTCTGTCTGTCTGTGTGTGTGTGTGTACAGTAGTAATTAGCAAAAACATAAATTTATTTTGAATTGTTAACATTTTTATAAAAACGTATAAACTTAAAAACATTTGTCATGAGAAATAAAATAAAATAACAAATGTATTAATTTGTTAAAAAGTTTTTTTTTTTTTTTTTTAATTTAATTTCATTAAATTGACAATTTAAAAATTATTTAGGTCATATAAAATCTCAGCATAAATGATTAGTGCTTGATAAGTGGTTTTTTATAATCCCCATCATCATCATCCTCCTCTTCCTTCCTTCCCTGTTTTTTCCATCCAATTTTTTTTTCTGTTTTTCCCTTTTTCCCCTCTCCCTCCCCCCTTCATTCCATTTGAGTCATATAATTTTTTTTTTTTAAATCCTCCCCATCCAGAAAATAGAAAAAAAATTAATATTATATCTAAAAACTGAAACCGAAGATTGGGGGATGTCAAGGACATCCGGATATTTGAGTAATGAACTAAAGTGATTTGATAAAAAATTCTTAAAGCTTTGTAAAAACTTATAGAAAACATAAAATTGAGCTTTTGATTTTTTTTTTTATTTTTTTTTATTTTTTCTTCTTAGAATTAAACCTTTTCATGGTTTATTAACAATTTCATTTAAAAAAAAAGGCATAAAAACAAATACAATAAAATAAAATATAATAAAATAAAATGATATAAAAAATCTATATGATAACATTTAGAAAGTAATTTTAATATAAAATTAGTGTTCTGTTTTATCAAGAATATTTATTTATATTATCTTGGGAATAAATTATTGTATTATATTTAAAATCAAATTTTTAAACTTTTAAATTATTTTTTTTTTTAAATGTAAATTCAAGTTATTGTTATGTTTAAATGAGTTTACTTCAATACATTTTTTTTTTAAATCAAAAGCTCTTGAAAAATATTTTTTTCCTTTTTTTAAATAATCTAAACTAAAACTATCTATTATTATCATATAAAATTATTATTTTACAACTTTATTATAAATATTTAACATAAAAAAATTAATTATGACCATTTGTATAATTCAACACAATGTAATGAAAACTTTTTTTTTTTTTTTTTTTCATTTTTATTAAATTTCTTTTTATATTTTTACCTGAACATTAAATCTTGTTTTGTCTCAACAGTAAATAACCCCGAAATAAGTAAAATTTCAAAAAAAAAAAAAAAAACAAATAACTTACCGAATTAAAATCATTGAAAATTTTTTTTTTTTACATATACCAAATGGAAGAGTGAGAACGCGAAGGAAAAACCGTTAAAAAAAGTAAAAATTTAAACAAATAACGTTTAAAAATATACATTTATGTTAAAAAACCTTTTAAAAATAAATTATTTGAAATTATTCTCAAGTATTTTAAAAAAAACTATGTTAAAAAAAAACAAAAAAAAACGTTAACAATGCTCGATGTAATTTTCGAATGAGTGGACTTGTCAAGTTCCGCCGCCATTTTGTAGCAGACGAAAGAATGTTACGTCAATTAATGATGACGTATGTAATTCGATTATTATCTTTTAATTTTATCTCAAACTGAATAATTACTTTTTTTTTATTTTTACACACACACACACACGAATATATTTACTTATTTATTTATTATTAACAAAAATAAAGTGTAAATTTATATTTTTTTAATCTTTTAAATAAAAGTTTTATCCGTTTAAAGTTAAATTTACATTACATTTCAATTGACAAACACGATACATTATTACTCTATGACAAATTTCAAAAAAAAAGAAAAAATTCGTTATTATTCCAAAAATATTTTTTATAATTATTATTAATAAAAAGGTTTAACTGGTTTAATGTATGTGTCATTGTTTTGTTTTCCGTGTGTGCATTTTCTCGTAGACGAAAATAAAATAAACATAAACGTAGACTGTGTTTTTTTTTTTAATTAATTAATTTCAAAATAAAATTCAATTAAAATTTATGTAAGGTAAACAACACTATCGAACACCATGTTTGTTTGTTTGTTAAAAGAGTAATTTAAATCATAATAAAAACTTTTGAGCAGACAATGAGTAAATTTTACGTGTCGATGATGTGAAATTGTATAATTAACCAGTTGTTTCATTATCCATAAAACACGTATTATTTAAAAAAAAAAAAAACAAAACTCCATATTTAAAACTTTTGTCACGGTTTTTGCAGACGAAACACTTTTGGCGGTTTGCATATTCTCATATCCATTTACACGTTTCTTACAAATTAATATATACTAATGATGATTTGATTAAATTATTATTATCTCACTCTCAAATACATTTAATTAAAAAAATTATTATTATTATTATTATTATTTTTGTTTGTTTGTTTTAAATGATAAGTTGACATACCTTACCACTTAAAAAGGAAGTATTGGCCACGGACGGTTTAAATTTGAATACCCATAAGGTCATATTTTTATTTCCAATAATCAAATGATGATTGACAATTGATTGATTGAGTGCGACTTTAACCCATAATAAAGCTGATTTAACTCTTAGCTGACTTATAAAAACACCTGGATCGCTTTCAGACGAATGACTAAATTCCAAAAGGGTTTGACCATTTAATAACTGTCCTGTAAAAATAAATAAATAAATAAATTTATTTTAATAAGTTACCCTTTCGAAAGTTATGTGGTTTTCAAAAAAAACGATTATTATTATTATTATGGACGACATGGAAATGTTATAAAAAAAAAAAAAAAAGGTAAATAATAAATTTATATCGTGTAACTAAACGAGATCGAAAAGGTCACGACGAGAAGAAAAGGTCGTCGTCGTTAAAAAAAAAAAAACCTTCTTCGATGTCCGAGACGTAAACATGTTCCAGACATTTTTTTTTTTTTAGGCATGAAATTCCGTTTTTTTTTTTTTTTTTTTTTTTCCTTCAAAATTTTCCATCGTCTCGGGGGGATTTTCCTTTTTTTTTACAACATGCAACTAAACCGGAAGTTATTAAATACGATGTTTTGCTTTATAGTTTGTTTTTTTGGGTTTCTCTCTCTCTCTCTTTCTTCATTCTTTTATAAATCTAATGATTGTTCTTTTTTTATTTTCAATGCAATTGTCATGCAAAACGTGCACTTTTTTTATTATTATTATTATTATTTAAAACATTTTTATTTTATTTTTTTTTTTTGGCAGCAATTACATTCCCATAAATCAGTCTGGATAATTTTGCTGCATACAACAGCAGCAGCAGCAACAACAACAACAACAACAACAAAAAATTCACTTAATATAATGAGTTTAGTTTTAAAAAAAAAAAATAATTTTTTTTTTTCCTTTTGTTTTATTGATCTTTTATTTTATTCCCATCCATTTTCAAAATATAATTTATTTATTTTTTTATTTTTTTTAATAACAATTTATGTAAAAAAAGTTTTTATATTTTAAATGTTTTTAATAAAAAAAAAAAAAAAAAAAACTGCAATTGCATTTAATCCATTTTTTTTTTTCCAATTTCTCAAACACTATTATTATTATTAAAGTTTTTTTCTTTTTTAGTTTGCAGTGATTTTATTTAAATTAATTTTTTGTAATTGTGTTTACTCAAACCAAAATTTTATATAAATGTTTAATAATAATAATAATAATAATAATAATAATAATAATAATAATAATTCTTGCATTTCTTGCATACAATTAACAAAAAGAAACTTTTTATTGTGATATATTTTATGTTAGCTGTCATACTTTTTTTTTTTACTTAATAAAATAAAAAAATATATATTTTTATAAAATAAAGGACTTAAATATTTATTTTGGACAAAGTGTGCGTGTGTGGGGGGAAAGGGGGAGGGAGAGAGAGAGATAGAGAGAAACTTTTCCATTATTACTAAAGTGCATTATTAATGAAATTTTTTATATATATATATATTTCTTCAAATGTCCATTTTAAACCAGACAACATTAAGTAGTAACATTATACTTTTGAGTAAAATAATATTTTGCAAACGTGAGAAATAAATGAGATAAGATAAAGAGAAATAGTCTAGACATATTTTAAAACCATTTTAAATGTCACGTCAATGGTAAACGATTTTTAAGCAAAAAAAATAAAAAAATTATTTAGTTGAAGGTTCTTTTTAAGAGTTTCAACCAACTTATTATTATTATTATTATTTCTCGGTCGTTCGTTATTTACTTATTAATTTATCGTTATTATTATTATTATTATTTCGAAAACTTATTTTTATTTATTTATTCAAGTAATTTTAATTTTAAAAAAACAACATCACATTGATGTGTAAAAAAAATAAGAAATCATGCAATTTCTAACCTTGGTTAATTTTTTTTTCCTTTTTGGATTTCCAGACGGGGTGTGGTAAAAAAAAAAAAAAAATTTAACAAAAAAAATCGATAAAAAACAAAATTTTTCGTGGTATATATACTCGAAAGCATTAAATATTAAGTAAAAAAAAAATAATAGTAATAATAATGAAATTATTATTATTTGTTTTTTTTTTCTTTCGTCGTATACAAAAAATAAAAAAAAAAAAATTGACAGACAAAATTAACCACTCGGAAAATATAAGTCAGAAACTGAGTGAAAAAATAAAAAAAAAATGAAAATGAAAATTGCAATTTTTCGCGATGAAAAACCACGACACAGACATTTAGGCACCAACTGAATCCGCCATCTTAATGCGGATTCAGTTAAGAATATACCAAAATTTATAGCGCGATTGCTTTGCTGCCAACAGTAAAAAAAAAAAAAAAAAAAAAAAAAAAGTTATTTCCCTGTCGAATTAAGATTTATTGAATGCTACGAGATTGAATTGTCAATTCAAAAAAATGAAGAAAAAACTTGGGGAAAAAGTTATAAAAATCTGTGATAACGATGCAAATGGGAATTATATAAGTAATTAAAATTATTATTTTTATTAAAAAAGTTTTTTTGTTTTTTTTTTTTTCGATGCAAAAAATAAAAAAATGAATGTTACTGCATAGCGACGTAAACGAGGTACGTTTTTAAATTGTTTTTTATGTTCGTAGAATAAACCATTAATTTAATCATCGGTTAAATTTTTTTGTCTTCTATTTTCTTTTTTATTTTTCCCTATTAATATTATTATAAAAGAAAATACGAGAGAGAGAAGCATGTAAAGATACATACATAAGCATAAAAATGAGATAAGGAGAATAGAATGTGCAACGGTCGTTCGAATTTCAAACCTTCTACTTCCACGTTTTTTCTAGAATGTTCTAACGTTTGTTCCACAGTTTCAATATCAAGTTTATTCATTTGCTTTTTTTTAAGTTTTTATTTTACCCGTTAATACTAAACTATATTTTTTTTGTTAATTATTTTTCAGTAATGTTAATAACTATTATTATAATATACGATGCCTTTATTTAATTCGATTAAAACAATAATTAAGTGATGAAGAAATAAATTTTCGAGAAAGGATGAAATTCAAAATGGAAGCTTTTTTATGAACGGAATTATATGTTTAGGTAAATTCGTGAAATTTTTTTTTACAAATGATGATTTTCTACATGGGGAACAATGTTTTCTCAATTCCAGTTTCATTTTTATGACATTTAATTCGATTCCTGATAAAAGGAGACATTTTTTTTTTGTTAATTCCTTCGTTATAACGAAAAACGATTACATAATCTGATACATCAGAAAAAATTTATATCTGACAAAATGGTGAGTTAACACTCTTATTTATTCAAATGTGTGATAAATTAATTAAATTAAGTTTTTTTTTTTTACCGGCTTTTTTATTTTATTTTATTTTCAAGGTAATTTAAATCATAAAATTTAAGCAAAACAAATTAATGAATTCCAAATTTTGTTAGTAAATTGAAACTTTTCTCTCTCTCTCTCTCCCTTTAAGATAAAATAATAATTTGAAGAAGAAAAAACTATAAAATTTTCGTAAACATTTACGCTTCTAAGAGATTTTATTGAGATTTTTCTTTAAAAAAAACCAATAAAACAAAAAAAAAAAAAAGTTGAATATGGGGAGAAAAAAATGTTTTTCTTTTTCCCTCACCATGAATTTTATATTATTATTAATACGAAAAAGTTTGCCCTTTTAAATCTTTTCTTGATTTACGATTAATACAAAAGAAAGTATAGAAGAAGAAGAAGACACATTCATGTATTAAAGATAGAAAAAAAAAAAAAAAGAAAAATAGAGAAAGTCCCTTCAACTTGTGAGAAACAATAAAAAAAAAAATAATAATAAAATATTTATCATATAATAATTTTTTTTCTATTTTATTTATTGAAAGATTTCTATTGTATTATTATTATCATTATTTTTTTTTTCAAGGACTTTTATTATTTGATAACCTGTTCTTTAATAATAATAATAATAATATATAGTAAAAGAATATGGAAGAAGGAGAGTAGAAAACAAAAAAGGTTTTTTGTGAATGTTTATAAATTGTTTGTTCACTCATATAAATTTGATAAACAATTAATGCTTAATAATCATAATAATAATTATCACTTTTTATTATATTGTTCCAGTATTGGAATGTGAAAAAAAAAAAAAAAATTCAAGGATAATGAAGGAGAACACATACTCGAAACATTAACAATACAACAAGGCCATGACACATGTATCAAGTCAAAAATTATTGTGAAATGAACACTAAACTACTAAACTAAAACTACCAACTAAAGGTATAAATATATAAATTATAATTTAAAAAAACCTACGCGCGAAATTGTTTAATGTTAAGGAAAAAAGTAATAATAATGATAATAATTACAATTTGGAAAAGTTTTTAAAAAGTTTTAAACTGACTCTATTTAATGCATGTTTTGCATTGAATTGTTTACAAACTTTAAATTTATTTATGGTTTTTATAAATTAAGGCTAGACTACTCAAAGTGTGTATGTGCGTGTGCGTGTGTGAGATTGATATTCAATGATATAAATTTATTTTATTTGTTTAACTAAAAAAAAAAAAACAAATTTTGTTTTTTTTTTTTTTTCATGTTCAAGGTTAGTAGTTTTGTTAGTAAAATATTTCTTAAAAAATCATTTCATCAGTAGTAAATAAATAAATAAATTTTATTGTTTTCCCCCCCCACCCCCCCCATTTCGAGGTGAATATAAGATTCGAAAAACGAAATAAAACAAAAAAACTTTTTTTTTTTGTTTTTGGGGAGTCGAAAGAAGGAATGGGGGGGGGGGAACAAACCAATAAATAATAATAACGTCATTGATTTTATTGATCGGACGCAAACAAATATTATCGTAAATCATCCTTATCACGTCCAGTATAATATTTTTGTTTTCGTTTTTAAACATTGTCCAATAAGTATATTTAAACTCTGGGAAAAAAAAATGGGGTGAACAGTCTGGATATTGGTCGTGACTTTTTTAAAACCTTCAAAAAAAAAATAATAATAATAATAATTCCAAAATTTATTTCAACAGTAAAAAAAAAAAAAGGAATAAACTTTTTTCTTTTCTATTTTTGTTTTTTTTTTTTTATAAAAAAAATAATGTAAAATTTAAATAAAAAGGAAAAATGTACGCCTACAATTTTTTACTTATGTATTTTGTTAAACATGAACGTATTTTAAAAAGTTATTAAATTTCAGGATGAAATTAAAAAATAATTTGAATGCTTTCATTAAATTAAAAAAATTTAAAAAAATAGTTTAAATTGAACACGTATTAACAACGATTGGTTCTCGAATGTTTTTTATTGCCAAAAAAAAAAAAAAGGGAAAAATAAGAAAATTTTTTTTTATTTTCTCTTATTTTTTTAACAATCCAAAACGATAGATTTGAAAATTGTAGGGTTGTCTTTGGTGGTCAGTCTAGCGTTGAATCGATGAAAAGGCGTCTATGTGGCGAACAGAATCATTTTCCCTTGATTCCGATATCTCAAAGCTGGAAATTTTTATTTCTTTTATCACTCCCTTCCCCCCCCCCTCGAAAGAAAAAAAAACAATTCGTAAACTGTTTTTTTCTTTTATTTTCGATTCGAAAAAAAAAAATGGATGTGAATATAAATACCCACGTAAAACATTATTGAATGTCAATATTTATAAACAACAATTTTTTTATTTTTATTTTTAGGAAAAACTAAAGGGAAAAATGAAGAAAATTCTCATGTGTAAATCAATTTATGGAGTTTTTAAAAACACCCCCTCCCTCCAAAAAAAAAAGGAAAAGGAAAAGAGAAAAAGAAAAAGAAGAAGAAGTAAATAGTAGGTTGATTTCAATGACAATTTAACTTGATTTTCCACTTTTCTTTTTTCTTTTTTTTTTTTTTTTACACATTTTCATTTTATTTTTGTTAATGCCTGTTTTGTGCGTGAGCAAAAAGAAAATTCTAGAAGGTTTTTTTTATTATTAGGTTCGATTAAGGAAAAATCAACTTTGATTTTTATCAATTAAATTATTTTTTATCAATCGTTTTTTTTTTTTTAAATTAATAGGATTCACGCGAATTTTTTTTTTTTTTTTAACGAGAAAGAAAAATAAGAAAGAAAAAAACTGTCGTCTGCAGTCTAAAGTCTAGACTTTTAATATGAAACTAGACGGCAAAAAAAGATGAAAGAAAAAAGAATAAGAAGAATAAAAAAATAAAGTTTTTTTTTTTTTTCTATAAGTTTTAAAAAAAAAAAATAAAACTTATCCATCTTTTTTCGCATGAACTTTCTTATTCTCTCTCTTTCTCTCTTTTTCGCAAGTTAAAAAAAATTTTCCGATTCGAAATTATTTATCGAAAAAAAAAATCGAAATTCCGGAAGTCGTGGTTGAATATTATTATCATTATTATTATTTTTCGTCAGGGCTACTTTTAAAAATCTCATAAAAAAACGTTAACTTCCGATGCAACGCTCGTTATTTTATTATATTTATGCTGCACGGTCTACGAAACGTCTTTTATTTCTTTTTTTCTTAAAAAACGATTTGATTTAAATTTTTTTTACTGTTTTGATTTTTATATTCTTGTAAATCCAAGGTTTTGCACACGCACACACGCACGCACGCACATAAATAAAAGGAGGAAAAAAAAAAATTTTTCCCCCCAACATCGAGACGACATTCTGACTATTCAATTTTTTTTTTTTTTCTTTTATCTCTCTCATATTTTTTTCCCCGCGACGCAAAAAAAAAAAAATAGAAAATTCGTTAATATTATTAAAAATTATTATTTATTAAATAAAAAAAAAAAAAAACTAGGATTCAATAAAAAATAAATAAATAAATCGAATGTAAAAAAAAAAAAAAAAAATTCATAACAAATCATAAAGTTTAAAAGTTAATAGTTTAAAATTTTAAAAGGGCGTCGTTTACCCCCCTTGTTTACGTAGTATCGTATTGTGAATTTTTTTTTTTTTTAATTTAAATAAATCGACGGAGTATAAATAATGTTAATTATGTTAATAATAGCGAGAATCGAAAAAAAATTCGATGGATCGATCGATCCATCGATCGATTTCGATTCGTTTGTTTGTTATTGGAGATAATCTGCCCCACATTATTTAATTACGAACCCACTCATAAAAATTAATAAAAAATTGACGTAAAGATGGCAAGTAAACAAAAAAAAAAAACAAAAAATTTACGTACGCACACATACACGCACACACGCACACACATTTTACATTTTTTATTTTTTTATATAAATATATATATATATTTTTTTCTTTTCTCCTCTCATGTTAATATTTCTATTAGACTTGGCGCCAATATTTTAATGTTTTTTTTTTCTTCTTTCTTTTTGTACATAACTTAAATTAGAAATATATTTTATTTAAAAAAATAAAAATAAAAAAAAATAAAAATGAAAAAAAAAAGAGAGAGAGAGAGAGAGAGAAAAAAAATTGGCAATCTTCTTGGCAAGGAAAATAAGCTAAGACAGCGTTTTCATAGTGAAAAGAAAAATTATATTCAAATGTATGTAAAAAAATATACAAAAAAAAGAAAGGGGGGTGGAGAGAGGGAGAGAGAGAGAGAGAGAGTGGGAAAGACAGGGGGAGGAGAAAACGTTAATTTTAAATGTTAATTAAATATTACGTTACAACTTTTTTTTTTTTTTTTTAATTAATAATAACTTTAATAATAATGATAATAGTTGATAAATTTCCACCCCACCCCCCTTCGCCCCCGTTCCCAACATTTACCATTTTTATTCATTTACTATTCTTTTTATAATTATTTAATTGAAATTTTTATTTCGAAAAATAAATAAATATTTTGTTTTTGTTTTCAAACAGAAAATCTGTCTCTGCATTTGAATCACTTTGAAAACTGCTGCATAAGAAAAACAAAAAAAAAGAAAAGAAAAGAAAAAGTTCGGAAAGAATTGATTCTGCGAAAGGTCAAAATAAAAATATCGATTGTAATGAGAGTATTTATACCTAAGGAAACGAGTAAAGCTTGAAGTAAATGCTGGGAAAACTTCGCCAAAATTAAAAGGTACTTGTCATTTTTAATAATAATCATAAAAAATGTAACATAAGTCTGGAGAAGTTTGTTGGGAGTGGGGGTGTATTCCTGTAATCTAACAATTCGGAGGCAGGTATAGAGGATGTTTTAGGGGCGGGGATTCTGGGATTGAATTAGAGATTAGTCGTCCTCTAGGGATAAATTTTCCACTTGGATGTATTGGAGGAGCTCGAGGTAGGCAAGTTGCGTCCAAAAAGGGAAAAAATCGGTCCAAAAGTCACCGACTTGAGAGTTTAAATCCTGGGAGTGGGAGTTCATTTGCACCTCGTTCAAACAAGAACAGACCTATACCTACAAAGTGACCTAGGACCCTTGTCGAGGGAGTGAGTCTGAGTACAAATAGGGAAAATGCAGAGCTACCGTGTGAGAGGAAGGAACGATCAACGGGATTCACGACCCCGGAAACTCTGCGGAAGAGGCAGGAATGATGGTGGCAGCCCGGGACTGTCTCTCCAAGGGTAAAAAAGGGAAGCACCAGGAACTTATTCCCACCTTCGCGAGTGTGAACCTGATGATTCTGGTTCAGGAGGAGGTTAAGGCTGAAATGCAGGTTAAAACACCCGCGAACGCCCCTCCCTTCGGGAAAGGAGTTTTAGTTGGGTGGTGGCTTCGACTGAGTCCCACACTCTCCTGCTACCGTTAGTGCGAAATGAATTTCTCTTGGGTTAGCAGAAGATTGAAAAAGAAAAATTGCAGATATCTAAAGACGGTCATAACAGTGAGAGAAGGAGTGATAACGATAACAATTCCAATCATCGTAGGAGCTCTGGGAACCATGCCTTATTTATCAAAAAGAAGTTTGAAGAAGATTTTTAAAAAAAACCGTACAGGAAATAGCGTTATACGGGACAACCCACATTCTTTATAAGCATCATAAACCGATATTCGAACATTTGTTTCTAAGAAATCGAAATGAAGGCCTGGTTCAAATGGAATTTGTCACGTTAAAAAGTAATAATAATAATAATTAATAAAATTCGAATCCCACACGTTTAAAAATTTGTCGTTTTAAAAACTTATTAGTAAGAACGTATAAAAAAAAACAGAATTCTTTTAAAAAAAGAAACAACGACAATAATCACCGGCATAAACAACGGACGACAACAATAACAACAACAACAACACGAATAATAAATCAAATCGAGCAAAAATTTCATATTAAAAAAAAAAAAAAACAAAATTAAAATTAATAATAATAACAACGACGTGCGCGCAAAAAAAAAAACCATAAAAGTGTTACGTAATAAAAGTAAAACTACTGGTAGACGAAGAAAAAGAGTAATAAAAAAAAAAAAAAAAACATCGGGTAAATCTGAAGGTTCCAAGAAAAAGAAAAATTTTTCCTCTGGATAATACGAATGCAATTGTAATTTGTCGCTAAATTGACACGAAAACTTTTTTATTTATTTTTTTACGTCAATAAGAATTCCTTTTATCATCATCATCATCATCATCATTATCATGCTTTTTTTTTTTTTATTTCGATTCTTGAAAAAATCTTAACAAGATAAAACTATCGGTTTATAACTTATTTTACCTATTCGAAAAGTTAATAAATTTTTATTACTCGCATTGAAAAAAGGTAAAAAGAGAGAGATAAAATGATAGAAAAAGAAGTAGAGAGAGAGAAAGAGAGAGAGAGGGAACTCAACAACTTCGACAAGTATAAATATTAAATTTATTTACAGTTAATTTTATTTTTTTTATTTCTCCATGAGTCAGTCAGTCACTACTACCTGAGACATTATTGAAATAAAAATAATAATTATTATTATTATTATTAACTGGAATTGTGAAAATGTTTCATATCTTTCTCCATAAACGTGAGTCTATATATATATACATATATATATATGAAGGCAATCGGAATGGAAATTTTTTTACGTACCTGGAAAATTGTGTGAATTCATTTAATTATGTCATTTGTTGTTGTGGATGAGAAGGTTATAAAATTTTATTACTCTTTGAAATGTACTTTTCTGTTTTTTTATTATGTTTGTGGCTTTAAAAAGAGAGAGAGAGAGAGAAAGAAAGAGAGATGGAGAGAAAAGAACGTGATTTAAATTTTTTCGATGGTGTCGGTTGATGACTGTCGGTTAAGTTAAAAAAAATATATATATTAAATTAGTAATTAATTAATTAATTAATTTTTGTTTTAGAATTTTAATTTCTAAAAACAAATGAAAGAAAAAAAAAGTAATGAAAAACCGGAAATTGATGTTGAAGGGGGAAGAGCTAAATAAAAATGTCATTAAAAAAAAAAAAAATTCAAAATGTATACGATGTTCGGGGTCAACAGCTAACAATTGAACTTGCCAAAAATTTTCTGCTTCATGACTTTTAAATGAGTAATGATAACGAGAGAGAGAGAGAGAAAGAGTAAGAAAAATTAAATTTAATAAAAAAAAAATAATAATTACCAAAAATATTTTTTTTTTTCAAAGTTTTAGAAAGAAATAATAATAATAATAATTCGAGTTTGAAAAATTACAGAGTCACATCGTCAACAATACAGGAAACAGGAAGTTAACATCATTCAGCCAAGTATACAAAAAGAAAAGAAAAAAGATACAAAAGCGATTTCCATGAATAAAAAAAAAAAGAAAGGAAAAGAATGACAAAAAAAAAAAACAAATCAACATCGATACACACACACACACACGCACATGCACACACGCACCCACACACAAGAGAGAGAGAGAGAAAAAAAAAAGAAAAGTTTTGAAATAATGGAGAATGAAAAACCACAATAATAAAATCAATAAAAAATCAAATAAAAAATAAATCGAGCATAGAATAAGAAAACAAAACAAAATGGCGACAATAAAAAATAATCAAAATTAAAATGGACGAGTAAGTAATTGTTAAAATTTATCATTTTTTTTTTTTTTTTTTTTTTTTTTGCAATTCAAGGTTGGCATCATTGATATTAAGAAATCATATTGCAAAAATTATTAATTAAAAAAAGAAAGAAAATGAAATGACTTACCCGGTTCGGCAAATGTGATTATTTCACTCGTTCTCCCATAGAAATCATCCGGTTCGCTTTCCAAAAGACCTTCATCTATTTCCGGTTCCTTTTCTTTTTTATTATTAATCGTTTCGTCATATTCTTGCTCGCCGAAAAAATTACCGTTCATCGGATAATCTCCGGCGCGGGAAAGTGTTTCAATTAGTATATCTCTCGGAACCGGAAGTGTTATCGTAGGTTTTTCTTTCAATCCGAGCTTTGAAAGTATTTGAAGTTTGATCGCTTCTAACCTTATCTCGTCGGAATTTCTTTCGAAATAACACGTCGGACATATTGATTCGCCTAAATGGTAATTATCGTAAGGCAACCAAGGCATACGCGGCGTTTCCTTTTCTAAGTTGAATATCATATTTTTAGAATTTTTTAAACTATTTAACAGACTATCAATAGTTTGAGAATATTTATGACTGTGTCTCCTATTATGTTCATTCCCATAACTCACACCATCGTCGTCGTTATTATTATTATTATTATTATTATTACTATTACTATTATCATTATTATTATTATTATTATTACTATTATCACTATTTAAATTACTATTACCATTATTTTTATTATTATTATTATTATTATTGTTATTGTTATTATTATTACTATTATTATTATTATTACTATTGTGACTATTACTATTACCATTAATATTATTATTATTATTATTATTATTTTTATTATTAATATTATTAACGTTTTCGTTATTATAATTGCTTAAATGTAATTTTTCACTATTTATAGAAGCGGAAGTACAATTAATAATAATAATTATAATAAGTACAATTGAATATATGGAATAAAAATATTTTCCTAAGCGATACCTTTGACGCCATGTTATAAAATGGCGGAACGCTTTACTATTTTGATAATACATTTTTTGTTCCATATTATTATTATTATTAATATTGCTTTTCGTTAGCTTCGATCGTTGTTTTTTATATTTGTCATTTTGTCAAGATTTTTCCAAATCGATTATCTTTCTCCGGGGGAACGATCCATGTAAATTATTATTATTATTATTATTATTCTTTTTTTTTACTGATTTATTTCGATTTAATTTTTTTTACCGATTAATTTATTCGTGCACGTTTACTTACCCTCGGCACGTGCACGTCCATATTTGTAAAAAAAAAAAAATTTTTCGCGTACGATGGTGTAAGTTGTAGTAAGTCTTTTAATAAGGTATTCGTTTTCAGTTTTACCTGTAATTAAAAAAAAAAAAAACAAACAATTAATTAACGATTAATTATTATTATTATTATTAATCGATACGTTTTTTTTCCAGATGAAAAAGAGGAAGATGAAGATGGAGTTGAAAGAACGTCGCGTATATTAAATAAAAGAATACTATAAGGGATTTACACACAAAAAAAAAGTAAAGTTTTTTATTATTATTATTATTATTATTATTAATTTTGGCATATCGTTAAGAAAAGAAAAAATGTATGGGATGCTGCAAGAGAATGATCACTTTGCAACAAAAAAGAAAATATATATATGATTGTATATGTACATGTATGGGAGAAGGGGGGGGGGGAAAGAAAAGCAGAAAAACTATTTATTGCCTTTTCCAAGTTACTTAATTTTTATTATGGCTGCCGTTTTTTAGGGTCAGAAGAATGTTGTCTGCTTGCATTTTTCCATCCAAGAAGATAAATTTTCTCTCTCTCTCTCTCTCTCTTTATCGTATGCAATGAAGTTTTGGTTTTTTTTTTTTTTCTTTTTTTGTTATTAATTTGTGTGTCTCTCACACCATTTTAAAGATTTATTACCGTAAATTTGAATAATATTTTTTTTTTTTAAAAAATATTCGAATCGAACGATTATTATTATTTTTTATAATATTCGCGATGATAATAATAATAATTTTAATAACGGAAACGAATGATTACACTACTGCCACGTTTTAAATTTGACAATTTAAAAAAAAAATTAATTTTATAAGGTGGAAAAAATAATAATAAAAAATATAATAATAATAATAATAATAATTTTTATTAGTATTTCGCGTCGTCGTCGTTATTATTATTATTATTATTTTGTTTTTCGTCGGCGAAAAATATAAGAGACAACCTGAATGTGTTTATACGTTGAAATAAAACTTTTTTTATTTTTATTTTATTGAGTTTTGGGTATAAAAAAAAAAAAAAAAAAGATGTCGGATTTGATGTGCGCATGACAATTATTTATAAAAATATTGAAATTTTTTTATCGTATCGTTTTGTGCGAATCGATACGTTCGATTTTTTTTATTTAAACAAAAATATTAATTTATTTTTTATTAAAAAAAAAAAAAAAGCAGAAGAGAAAAATTATAAAATGGCGAACGAACGAACGAACGAAAGAACGACGTGCGATGGATGATTTGACGGTGCGTATGAGGATGACATCATCAGTGGTGCCAACTTTATTTATTATTACGTTTAAATCGCGAAAAGCTTTATTTCGTGTCGCGGCGTCAACCACGTGGTTTTATTTTATTTTTCCCATAATGTATAAAAGAAAATTTTCCTTTTTTTTTTTTTTATTAATGAAAATGAAGGAGAGGAAAATTTTTGTTTATTTTATTTTCATTATGAATTAATTTTTTTTTTATTAATAGCTAATTGTAAAATCGTGTTGTCACCGCCCCCTCCCACCACTACCACCACCACCTTAAATTTATTTATTTATTTTTTTTTGTTGCAGATCAAAAGAAAAATTTGAAATCGATTGGAAATGATTGTTGAGAGGGTAGCCATCATAAAAAATTTTTTTGTAATGACATGAAGAGAAGAGAAGAGAAAAGGAAAGGAATGGAAAGGAATGGAAAAAAAAGTAACAAATTTCTTTTCTGGGTTCGTGCCCAGAGTCCTTTACATTTTTTTCAATTTTTTTCAATTTTTTTTTTCATTTTTTCGTCAGCTACGTGAAATTATTGAACCGAGTCGCTTGTTGAAAATTTGGCAAAAGTCACAAAAATAATAAATAATACGATAGTTACAAATAAATTTATACTGTGACAAATTTTAAAACGCGGACAATAAGAAAGAAAAAAACAAATAAAACTTTGTTTTTAATATAAAAATTATCATTATCGTATATATGTAAAAGATGACGACAAAGACGATGATTCGTTATAAAGTTTTTTTTTTTTTTTTTTTTTTAAATTTTAAAAGGCGGTGGAAATTTTTTTTTTTTTTTTTTTTCATTACAAAACATACTAAAAACGACTTTTTCGATTTTTTTTTTTTTTTTATTTAAACGTCCCAAAAAATTATTATTTATTAAATTATTCATTTTTAAAAAAATTTTTTAAAATTAAAAAAAAAATCCGGAGGACATTTTCTATTTCTACCCCCCCCTTTCCCCCCCCCCCAAAAAAAAAATTATTATTATTTTATTCATTACGTTCGGTCGTTCGTTCGTTCGTTCGTAAATTCAAAAATTTGATATTTTTTTATTAATAATAATAATAATAATAATAATAATAATAATAATAATAATACGATCGTTTTTTTTTTTTTTTTTTAGACAAATCGAAAATTGGTAATAATAATAATAATGATGATGATGATGATAATAATAAATTATCAAAAATCGAAAAAAAAATTTTAAGAAGGAAAAAAAAACGTTGGAAAGTTTAAATTGTTTTGATGGTTAATTATGAGTTCATTATAAAAACTACGGTAATAAATTTATTATTATTATTATTATTAAAACACGTAATTAATAAATTTTAATTAATTAATTAATTAAATAAATAAATAAAATTTTTAGCTTTTTTTGCGTAAACGTTTCGGATGAATCGTAGAAATGGATGGGAAAATAAAAAAATTCGCGACAAGATTAATAATCGTCTCGATTTATTCACTTTCGTTCGACACGCGGATTCTGGAGAAAAAAGTCTTCTGCTTGAGGTGATGGTGGTAAGTGAAAAATAAAAATTATTAAAATAAATCTTTGGCATGCACATATATTACAAACGTTGCGTGTGTGTGTGTGTTACAAACCGTGCTGGAAAGAGAAAACTGGAAGAATAGTATAGGGAAGTTAAGGGGGGGTGTGATGGGGAGAGAGAGGAGGTGGGACAAGATGAAGGAGGAAAAAAAAAAGAAATGACGAAGAGAGAGAGAGAGAGAGAGAGAGAGCAAATAATAAAATCTGTTTCGGATAATTTTTATTGTCACTTTGAAAAAAATATTTTAATAAGAAATTTTTTTTTTCTTTTTTTTTTTTTGTAAAAAGTCGTTAACCTTGAATCTTATTTATCGTCGTAAGAAAAATTACAATAAATCTTTATGTAATATAATGGAGGAAAAAAAAAGAAAAGAAAAAAAAGAAAAAGAAAAAAAAATTTAAATAATGCATTGAGGTTAGTGGTGGTAGATTTCAGACTATGCATTAAATTCACGACGACGATTTGAAATTTTGTTTTTTTTTTTTTTTTTTTTTTATAAAAAAAATTAATATTGTTCTTATCATTATCATCATCATTATCATCATCATCATCATCATCATTCGTCTTGTTTCCCCCTCCCCTTCCCCCCGCCCTTTAAAAGCGGCGGCGTACAAATTTCATCAATTAAAATCGTGTCCGACATTTTTTTTTTTTTTTTTTTGCTTTGGCGGGATTTCTCTCGTTTATTTTTATTAAATTATTATTATTATTATCGTTCCAGTCGGTTTTCAATATAAGGAAAAAAAAAATTATTTTTGTAAAAATTCGTATCGTTGCCAATGAGTGTCGCCATTTTTTAATAATAAAACAACCTTACGAAAACGAGGTTTTCAATAATTTATTTTTGAATATTTTAATGGCGGTTGTATCTTTTGCTTTTATTTATCATCGCGATATTTGCTATAAAGAATTTTATCTTATTTTACTTAACAACAGCAAACGGAAATTGTTGCACGCACGCACGCACGAACACTCGCACACACGCATATATATACGTTACGTCGTATTTACATAACGTTAATTCGACCCTTGAGCAATGTTTACATAATGGCTGATCATTAATACGATATTAAGGTAGAACCTAATCGATGACAGGTACAAAAGATAAAGAAAACAATTATTTTATGCACGGATTTGTTTTGTACCTAAACTAACGCTTAAAAAGGAGTAAAAAAAAAAAAAAAAAATTTTTATAGGAAAGAAAGGCGGCGTGGCACGAGACATTTTTTCATTTTTTTTTTTTTTTTTCGATTCGTGCGTGTGCGTGTGCGTGTCTGTGTCGCAACTATGATTACATTAATCGTTATAATAATAATAATAATAATCGATACGTATTTAATTGATTTTTTTTCTATCATGACGATGCGCTTTACGGTAATAATAAGTTTGGTTATAAAAAAAAAAAACAATGGATG